GTCTCGGACTGGGAATTGTAATCTAACCTTGACACGTCGGTGGGTTCTACTCTACGGTTCATAGACTGAACTTGATCGTAGGCTCTCCCGTCGTGTGACTCAAATTTACCTACAAACGGAAGGACGTCGAAAAAAAAGACCGTTGTTGTCCGCGTACAAACAAAAAAAAGAAACTCCTTTAACAAAAAAACTTCGACAACAACGGACACCTTTTTACATTATTCTTTACTAGTCTTTTAGACCCCGTCTATCTCGGGGTATTTTTACTTACTTTTGACTAATAAAGTACAAATTACCCGGGGGGTCATTTAAATTCGAAACAATCAAGGACCAATTATACACGTTATTCAAGTAAGTTATTCAAAACGTTTATATTGTAACTTTGGTTCAGCGCCGGGAGCTGCCGTCGACTAAAAATTTACAGCCGGGTGGACACACAAACTCAAAACTGTCGAGGACCGTTGATATTAAGATTTCGTTTTTACTTTCAGTCCTTGTATAAATACCCGTATGATTTTGTTTACTGTAAAATAATTTTCAATATTCTTATATTTAACAACATTCGAACAGTTATCTAAACAGTGACCCTCAGGGTGGAGTGAAGGTGTGCGTGCAATATACCGACGGGCCAGATCTAATAGTAATTAAACATTATCCTGCCGGCCGAAATTTAATCCACCACGTGCCTGATTTGGCCCGCGGGCCTTGAGTTTGACATGTATGTACTAGTCAATTTGTATTATTCCAGCTAAGTCTGCACTTCGCTCTCAGGCCACAGTGGGGCAGTGACAGTCAAATTCATCAAAAATCCTCATTTTAAAAAGTGTCAATTTTTATATTTCATCACCCAGGAGATAATGCAAGATGTTTTCCAGTGATGGAGAGAGAAGGGGAGGGGGACAACAGGCTGGACATCCAGATGGGTTATTGTTAACACTGCATCTCTTTAAAGAAAGGGGAATGTGAGTGTGTGTGTGAGGGAGGGTGAGAGAGAGAGAGAGAGAGAGAGGGGGAGACACAGCAAAACTGAGTGTTAAAAACCTTGGGATCTGAAAAAGCCTCCCAGTCTGTCTGCGAGGGAGCTGCAGCACACAGGAGGGTTTCTGCAGGAACAACTCTCCCAGACTTTCAAATGAAGGAGCATTTCAACATGGACTTATAACTGTACTCAGCCTGAAGGAAGTCCAGGTGAATGGATGGATCTTAAGACAGGGATTCATGCAGTATGGAGATGTTCGCCCCACGGTACTTTGTTTGGATACTTCTGGAAGGAACCTTTGGTTTGGTAAGTCAAGGACATCATTCACACCGGTGTTACGTTAGGGAAAGAACGAGCAAGCAGGTGGAGAGCAGCAAAGTGTATTTGTTAATAAAGTGTACCAATCTTTTGCATTTTAAGTATCTTTTAACTAAATTAGCCTATTTTCAGCTGTGACCTTTTATTATACCATGATATAACCCTGTACAATGATTAATTATTTTGCAGTTACATGTCAAAATAATTAAATATAATGCATTTTTGGAGTGTGAACAGTATGTGTGTAGTTAGATATACAGTAGTCTATTTACTTGTGATGCTTAAGTATGTTGTTAAGTCAATACATTTCTATTTTGGACACATCACTTTTATGTTTTTGGAAAGTAGTGTAACGTAGAATAGATATTCTTAAAGAATATAAACTGAATCTCTAAACATTTATGTCCCCTTGTACTTAACATTCACATTTCTCTCCTGATTTCCTGTCTAGTTTGTTCTTGGGCAACATCAGGATAAAGTCTCCTTCAGGACAACTGGACATTTGATTCCCAACACCAAACTCCCCCTTACCGGCCCCCATGCTAAGCAGGGACTTCTGGAAATACTCGGAGGAAACTCCCAGTCACACTCCAACCCATCCTTAAAAATAAAGCTCCGTCCAACCATGAAAGTCCATGGAGCATCCAAGTTCTCCAGGACGTTCAGCTGGGGGGACTTCTACTCAAACATTAAAACGGTCAAACTGAATCTGCTGATAATGGGAAAGATTGTGGATCACGGGAACGGCTCTCTGGGAGTCTACTTCCGCCACAACTCCACAGGGGTGGGCAACGTGTCCGTTAGCCTCGTGCCCCCGATGAAGGAGGTAGAGTTTGATCTGGAGCGCCAGAGTGTGGTCAACCCCAAAGAGTCCAAGACCTTCAACTGCAGGGTGGACTACGAGAAGACGGAGCGCAACAAAAAGGTGATGCTGTGTAACTACGACCCGTCCAAGACCTGCGCTCAGGAGCAGACGCAGAGCCACGTCACCTGGATGTGTTCCAAGCCCTTCCAGGTCATCTGCATCTACGTCTCTTTCTACAGCACCGACTACAGACTGGTGCAGAAAGTGTGTCCGGACTACAGCTCCCACAACCCAGGAGCCTACCTGCCCACAGGTTAACCAGAGGGCAAAGAGAATACTCCAATACATCCAGTTCAAGTGAATGCTTGTTTTACCATTGGTCAGCCTTTAAAGTATACAGTATGTTTTAGTCCAATATCTGCTTGTTCTAGACTACAAGAGCTGTTTTTATGAAATGCACAGTATTAGGGGTGGAACAAACATATTTTCATTGATTGATGTCATTTCATTTCAAACCTTTATTAAATCAGATTGGTCCCTTGAGATCATAGATCTCTTTTTCAAGGGAGACCTGCAGCATATAGGTTCCAAATGAAACATAAAACAATAAAGGACATCATACATTATATTTACAGGATAATAAAGGACAGATGTGGCGATTGTTGGTTTTTTAAATTATACTTTTCAATGTATCCTTTAGTTTTTATGAAAGTTGTGAATAATGCTCATGAAAACCTTAAACATAAGGCAATGCAGATAATCCTGAGAGGAGATAAATCATATTTAGTATTTTATTCCCTTTAAAGGGCCTGAATGATTCTCAAAATATTAATTGAATAAAGTAATTACTTTTGCTCTAACCATACTATCTGCCGATACTAGACAATAGCAAGTTTTGGTTTGTAAGGTGTGATATAGTTAAGTTAGTTTGTAATACTTAAGAAATAAGACTATATATGTGTATACTCACTGTATAGTCAGGATGTCCCATGTATTTGCAACATTCTTATTTTGCATATCAATTTACACTTTTGCCAAATGTTGCCAAATGTTAGACCTCATGTACACACTAAGGAGATGTATGTGAAGCAATCAACCCTATTAAAGAAATACTTTAAAATAAACATTTGTATATCAACAACTCACCATTTGCCACCTTGAATTTGTGAAGAAAACGTATTTCTCTCATTCCTCCATGGTGACGAAGACTGAAGTAAATCGGGCCTGCAACAGCAAAGCTTAAACATTAGTTATTAAACTCTCGTACTACACGCAGTTTTATCAAAGTATGATATATACTTTACTATATTTATGTATTTATCTGTCAGAATTTTTAAGACCAACATATACTTACCGGAAAAGTTAATCCTTAAAGGTTTCACATCATTAAAGTGGAGTAAAGAAATATACCTGAACATGTTGAGGCGTAGAAGTGTAATGCAATGGAAATACTTAAGTATTTAAGTAAAGTTCCTCAGATTTTTACTTAAAGGGGACCTATCATGCAAAATGCACCTTTGTACGTCTTTTATACATGAATATGTGTAAGAAAACACAACCCTCTCTCTTTTCCTCCATACCCAAAATCTCTAAAAACGGGGCTTTAACGGATCTGATACAGACTGATACAGATTTGAAAATAGTCTGACGTCAGTGACGAGGAGCTCCGCCTATATGGCCAACTCTCCACCAATCAGGGGAATGAGAGGTTGCCGTGGCATGGTAAAAGCATGGTAACATGACGCTCGTAACTCGGCCCCCTCCTATGCAGGGGGGCGTGGTCAGCTGCAGCGCATGCAAAGACAGGGTGGAGGAGAGCAAAATAGAGCGAAATGAGACATGGCTAAAATGCATGATCTGTTTGGTATTTTGAAAAAGAAAACATATAAATATACCTTATATAGGTATGGGCCTACAATATATTATTCAAATATAGCATGATAGGTCTCCTTTAAGTGTTTGGGTAAATGTAATGACTTACATTGCAGCACTTTGGATGCCTTTTCGTCCAAATGTCACTCCAGTGTTTTTATCATAGAAAGAAATTAGGAAGTTGTTCATGTTTTGGAAAGGGCAAATTGAAAAAAAGGATACATTAAATATGAACATCTCCAAAAAGTTAATTACATATGCAGTAAAGGGATAAAAAAAAAATACACACTAAAATGCCCAGATTTAATCATGATTAGGTTTATGCCACTCTAATTTAAAGAACATTTTAAAACTTGAGTCATCAAATGAAATTTCTTTAAACACCAGCCTTTCTGCCTGATACCTTTCCTTAGAGGTGATCTGTGGAGTCCCATAATCATCTCTAAATGAAACGCCTGTTTAATGAGACGGACTGAAAAGAATAAATAAACAATTCAGACAAAAATACCAGACAAAGTTTGCATTGCATTCAATACAAAATAGTTGTGGTTTAATCTTTTGGGAACAAAAAATTGGCAACAACTAAGTGTCACTTCTCATAACCAGCAATATCTACAGGAAAGAAACGACAGTTCCTTCGATCATTACCATTTTCCGCCAGTTTGAAATTATAACTTCAAATGTATTTCATGTGGTTTGCCTCGGTGTGCATCTCTTCACATTCTGTCTCTTCTGAACATTAAAACGTGTTCATTTCAATTTCCCCTCAGTCTTTATGCCTGCAAGGAAAACAAGTCCGCTTTTTTTTCAATTTCACGGTGGAAAATGCTTTTTGTTTACACAGCTTCAAAATCACTGATGTCTGTACAAATTCCTATGAAAAAAATAGAAATGACAGTTCTGGGGGAAAAAACAAATAAGAAACAAAATAGCATCAACATGCCTGATTCAATCTCAATTCTAGTTGAGGCACAATTTGTTGCCTCCTGGTTGGTTTGTCCGTCGAAACCTTGAGATGTTTTCCTCTCAAGGTTATAAAAACAGATCCACACACAAAATACAATTTCCCCAAGAATGACGTCCAGTTGCTTTTCTGTACCCTCTCTTTACTGTTTCTTCCCAGCTTTTAAAAAAAATGAAAACGGATGCGAAGTTTTTGGAGTACATGTGTTGTTTCTGTCTTCTTAAAGGGTTCTTGTTCTTGGTGGTCCTGTTGGGTCTTTAGTTCATGAAGCTCTCTTCAGTATGTGCTTGCCTACAGTATTACTACTTTACTGCTGGTAAGGTTTCTTAAGGGGTGACCTGTGACTTTAGTGCAATGTTTCTCCAACTTTCTCAAGGAGAATTAACGTTAAGTTTGTCCCATATCTGCTTTTTAGACTAGCCCTTGTTGTCTTTCTCAGGGGGGGGGGGGGACCTTCTAGTTTGTAACTAACAGGCCCATTTCTTCTTTTTCTTCTGTCCCCCGTAGGCCCATGTGTTCGTGAGTTTGGGGGCACCTCGGACTCCAAACAGAGCAAAAAGTAGCCTTATGATAAAACACACAGCTTCAGTTATCTGCACGTGTCCTTCCATCCTCCTCTTCCCCTGACAGTCGGCTCTTTGGGGGTTTTGGTGTCCAGTCCTTCCTCCCGAACAGATTCCAAAGTAGGAACTAACGGGGTGTCGAGGGGTTTGGTTTTCACACAAAGATAGGAGCACAATGTCAGACCTCACTGGGCCCGAGCCGAGGAGAAAGGGGGAGGGGTATTGTTTTTATTCTTGTAAACAACAAACATTCACTTCACCAGCACCTGCCCCTCTCTTTCACCTCCACTTCCTCCTTCTTCCCTCCGTCTTTAGAAGAGACTAAATACAGCAGGTTTGGATGGGGCAGAAGGGGGGGGTCCGAGGGAGGCTGTAGGTAGTGAACTAGGTAACAGCGAGGGGAAAGGTTGTCCCTGCGTGAGGGGGGGGGAGTCTGTGTGTCTTTGTGTGTATTTGCATGAGCGTGTGTGCGTATGCATGGGTGTCAGCGTCTTGCTGTTAGGATTGTTTGAGGCGCTTGCGGGGGGGTCCGAGGAAGGGGCACTGCGCCGAGGCCAGGGAGCGGTACGCCTCGGCCACCAGGTGAGGGTGAGACGCCACCATGGACTTCCACCCCGCCGTCTCCATCACCTCCGCAGCGTGGCTGGAGGACGAAACAATAAACATTATATTAGGGACAATCCATCGGTATTACAGGGGTGTCAAACGTCTCTGAATCTAATATTATAGACGTGTTTTATTTAAAAAGGACATATTATACAAATGTTCAGGTTTGTGTTTGTATTTTCTGACATAATTACATGCTTTAAAGGTCCCCTCTTATACTGTTTTTCATCAATATATTATAGGTCTCAGATATACACAAAACATGTCTGTGAAGTGTTTGGCTCCAAACACCAAACAGATCATTGCAGCATCCCATAATCCCCTCTGTTTCAGCCCTGTTTCAAAAGTGCTGATTCTCTGTCAGTTACTTTAGATGAAAATAAGGAGCCCCTCCCCACGGCCCTCTGAGAGAGATTTGGTTAAAAAGAACTCAATGGTGCTCTAGGAGGAGATTCAGGTGATAAGGTTGGGGGGTGTTACCTTGGTTGGTGATTGGCTAATGGTTACACAAGCCAAAACATTGTTATGACATCATAAAGTGGCCAAAACCTGATCAGCTCATTTTCAGGACAAAAAGTGAGCGAATTTTTTTTCCTGAAACTTCCAGAATCTCTTTACACAGAGGGGACACATATGTATGTATAAAAGACATGAAAAAGTGGATTTTGCATAATAGGTTCCCTTTAATATTCACTTAACATTTACTGCCTGTCTTTTCACCCTCTGTCTGAAACCAGAGCCCAGTCTGCTCTGATTAGGGATGTCCCACCCTTTAGCCTATCACGTAAAATGTGTTGGAGCGCTAGTCAATAGAAGCACAATTTTTACATTATGATGTCACAATGTTACGGAGGTTTCAGTGTGTTGGAGAGAAACTCCCTCTGCGGGGAACTTTGGGATTTTAGCCATTGCAGACCATTTACATGCACAAAAACCTATAAAACACACTACAGGAAAGCTGAACCCCAAAAAGCATAATACGGCAAAAACAAATCATAGAAAACTAAAACTAGACAATGTTTGGCATTTTTCTAGAAAAATTACTTAAATGAATTAATCTATATGATAATTTGTGCCGGTTCTTTTTTGGTCGATGTACTAATCAAATAATTGTTTCAGCTCTATAAATGAAAGGAAACAATCTGGAGCAATATGTGTGAGCTGAGCACAGACACATGTTCAGATGTATCACCTCATTCATCTAGGTCAACACATAAGGCAGGTAGTGAGAAGTCAGGAAGTCCTGATCCTTCTGGAAGCTTTTAATAATGTCACACAGACCCCTCCATGAGGGACATGTGAAATTCAATTATTAACTGACACCATGGGAGGAGGCGAGAGGGTGGCGCTGTGTGAGTCTGGTGTCATCAGTAACAATGGCGAGACAAAGAGGACAAGGAACGGAGACAAACTGTTCAGAGGACTTCGGAGGATCTGTAAGAAGTGACGACGAGTGAACTCACTAGTTGATGAAGTCGACGGCCTGAGTTTTCAGCTGGTCGGCGCTGTGCAGGTCCGCCAGGATGAGGATCTCCGCTGCGTTCTCCACAGACAGACTGGTGCACAGCGCGTCTTCACACATGACCTTCAGTCTCTCCAGAGCATACTACAGAGAGAGAGAGAGAGAGAGAGAGAGAGAGAGAGAGAACAACATGAGCACTCTGCATGTCTTCAACAGGACTCAGGAGGTATCTGCTGTGACAGATTTAGTGATACTTAACTAAATTAGGTCTGTGTCATAGAGGAGTGGAATCATGACTTACTGGGATAATAGGGTTAGTGATTAGTGTGCACTTAATTCATCTCACCACCTTATGACATCTGAAAGCTCGCAGTGTTTGCTCTCGTTACATTAAATACAGAAAAGACAGCAATTCTACCTGCAGTAACAGATGTTGTTGGTCTGGGCGCTTTGGTTTATAAATAATACCTCCATGTTTTGGGGTTATCCAGCAGTATACAATATATATTTTTGATATTTGCATATTATATTAAATATAGAACCAGCCCTAATCTGGTGCTGTATGCAGACATTGATACTAGAGGATCAGTAGATCGTTAATATTCAGAGTTATATTCATATTTCAAAATTGACATTGCACTATTCTTCTAATACCTTGTCAGCCGCTGCCAGCAAGTCGTCAGCCATCTTGTCCAGGTTGGGAGCTTTGTCTGTGTAAATGAAGCACATCATCTCTTTGAAAACCTCCGGCTCCACATCGTTGATCTCCACACGGTTCTGAGAGGGAGAGACACCAAGGTTAGAATCCTGTGACATGAGCTTAAACTATAGCATGAACAAAATTATCGCAGCAAGTTTTTTTCATTATTCCACAAAAATAAAGAGCATTTAGATAACTATTTGTCTGTGAATCTCTACACAGTGTTTAAAGACACTTTGGAGAAATACTTAACAAATATGCAACAATAAACCACATTTTAATCTGCTTGTGAACGCTTCTGATTTAAAACTCCAACAGATTTCATATTTGTCATGACTAGCCAATAAATCAATATGTGCACTTATTGTAACCTTGTAGCTAGAGATGTCCCCGAGCCGATCCCCGATCACGTGATTTTCAAAAGATCGGAATCGGGAGAAAAAAAATCGGGGATCGGGTTTTTTATTTTTATTTTTTTATTTTGTATTCAATGTTACAAAACAAAAATGACCATGTTCAAGTCTTAAAGTCATCCTGAGGCCTTAGTTTTGGTTACAAATTACAGAACATCATGTATGTGTTGCTTCTTTGGGGCTTGTTTTCATAGACCTGGTTGCTTATTTCTCTCAAATCTGGCAACAGAGTGGGCAGGGCGCAGTGTCTAATTGTAGCAGTAAGCTAACGAGTACTGATAAGCTTTATTTTGTTTTGATCCAATGCTGCACAACTGAACTTATCCAATGCTGCTGTGAAAGAAAGAAGCTATATCCATGTTGGATAGAATATCCAATTTAAATAAAAAAATAAGCTTAAGGGAGAACTTGAATGCTTTTTTTTCTCTTAATGCATTGCATAAAGATCGGATCGGGAAAAATCGGTATCGGCAAATTGTCAAAATCAAAGGATCGGAATCGGAAGCAAAAAAAGGTGATCGGGACATCCCTACTTGTAGCAAATCAAGCAATTTGACCACACAAAAAAAGCTTGCTGTACGTTTAAAAACATAATTTAAAACCATTATATAGAGTGCCACAGTGACGCGTCCTAAAACCCGGAAGTAAGTTAGCATTTGACCACTTCCGGTTCCTTCGACAAAAAAGCAGAAAATATCTGGAAATAAGATCTGTGGTTGAGACACATTTAAGAGACGGATCACGTTTTGTTCTACAACATTAAATACATCAGCAGTGAGCCCACTGGTGATTTTTGAAGAGTTTACGTGTCTGAAAACCGATGGTTGTTACCAAGTGGCTGAATAGGACTACAGAAGTTGTCGAGGCCGTTTTACGTTATTACACCGAACACGTAAACACTCCCGCTAAGTTTGTTTTTCCCCGTGTTCTGCTTAAAAGCAAGTACCTGTCTCCTGCAAACTGTTAAAACAAACGCTTCCACTTGCACAATTTTGAATCTGTAGTTTTGAATATGGATCTCAAGTTGGCGTGACGTTGAAGCAGCGTCCCTGCTGTAGTTCGTTTATAGCATAACATTAGCATTTTGCTTCTGGCGACTAGATTTATGATTCAAAAATTATAAAAGTAGGGTAGACATGTGGATATTATCCGACTGAACAAAACGTGATCCGTCTCTTAAGTGTGTGTCAACCACAGACCTTATTTCGAGCTATTTTCCAAAATCCTATGGGGAAATTGCATTGCGTTTTTGTCGAAGGAACCGGAAGGAATTTACTTCCGGGTTTTAGGACGCGTCACTGTGGCACTCTATTACCATGTTTTCTATCTGCAGATAACATCTACTCTATGTTTCAAATTTACAAAAGTGAAATGTTTCATTCTTTTAAAAATTTGTAACAGAAATTGGCTTTGGTAAAAAAAAACAAAAAAAAAAACATCTGGGCTGCTTCTCCTGCAATTTCATTTCGTACAGTCACATGTGCACAGATGAAAAAGAAAAAAGCAATTCTCTGCTTCTGCAGCTCTGTCAGTGAAGGATGAATCCTGACCCCCAAGTACGGCAGGACAATTTCCTTTCAGGAGCGCTATCATTCAGCTTCTGCAAACAGCTCCGTGCTGCAGCCGTTTGACAGCCCACAATCCTTCACTCACTGTAACTCCTCCACACAGCGGGGAACATCTGAGTGAGCCGCTGAGGGACAAAACAAATTCATTTCTAGGAGTAAAAAAAGCTGAAGGGACCGTTGGCTCACCTTTTTGCTTTCCTCCATCTCGTGCTCAAACATGGCGCTGAATACAGGGGAACGTGCTGGAAGCAGTTATATAAGAACAATATGTTAATGAGTAATCTGTCAAGCAACGGCAACAATTACAATTCAAATATTACACCCACACACTGTAGGACCAAATACAGTATAATGAGTGTGCCTGGTGTCTGCACCTGCGAGGATGGCTTTGTGAGCCTGAAACTCCTGTCCTGCCACACACAGGGAGCAGTCTGTGAAGCGGGAGTTTTCCCACAATCCCCCCAGCTCGTCCGCTAGCCGGCAGTCAGGAACCTTCACCATGTTCATCGTGTTCTGCCCAGATATGTTCACCGAGTCCTGCACCACGCTTACCTGAAGGAGAGATATTCAATGAAATGCAATACTTAAAAATGCACTGGAGTGATAAAGGGTGTAAACCAAGACTATGCAGCGTACCTCGCAGAAGAGCGTGAGCTTGTCGTCAGGTAGAAGACCGTTGGCCTCATCTAGGAGGAAGTCTCTGCGGATGAACTTTTTGAAGCCCCAGTCTTTCCCCTGGACAAAGCGATATGCCCTCTGGCTTTCTGCAGGCCATCAGGACAAAAAGAAGTCCAGAAAAGGAAAGAAAAAGTGTGATTTTAAAAAAGTACAGGAAAACTGCCAACTCCACAGGATGTTAGATCCGACTCTTTGAAAGTTGTTGCCCCCCAGTGGCTCACCCATGGCTTTGGTCTCCTCTCCCTTGGCGTTGAGGATGGAGAATTTGAACTTGGCGCGCACCTCTGCCTTCGGACAGCTGACCAGCAGCAGGTAGAGAGACAGGTAGTCTTTGCTCTCCTCGTCCAGGCCCTTCGGATTCACTCGCAAACACCTGATGGTGAGAGGGTGTAATATTTAGGATCTCTTCAAATAAATGAATCTCTCCTTACTAAAGAATTTTGATACATGCAGTTTTCATGTAAAGTCGTTTGTCTATGCACTGTGTCTTCATGCTTTTTCTGATCGTTATGAATACAGCAGGCTAACAGAGCACTCACTGGTGCTTGCATTCTTCTGACTCATCAGCTTAATATTTGTTGTGAATATTTATGACTGTTTACTCAAGGGGCTCTTGTGGTTGCTGTGGTTCACACTTTTGAAAAACATATTTATTTGATGAGAAGGAAGACCAATAGAGTTGAAGAATAGACTTGAAAAATGACTCTATAGTCCCTGAATGTTTGTATAAATACTGCAGTGCAAGTATATCGTCAAATATGTTGATTAGTTTGAAGTAAATGACCAGTTTAATGATAACACTGAATAGAGCACTTTTCATCAGAAAACCATTGCTTATATACGAGTATGTCAAATTCTATTTTGTGTAAGGTTTGCTTGATAAGGGATCAAAATTGCTGATCCCTTATCTGATGGCAGACTCAAAATTGGCGGTTTCAATTCGTGTACACTGCAGTATGATAACGAATACTGGATTTTAGAATATGATGAACAACATGGCTTTCTTGCCCGCCCACCATTTCAGCTTGTCGTTGGCCCCAGAAGAGAAGGTGGAGCTCTTGATGACCTCTCCCATCTCCTCACGACAGAAGCTGAAGTTGTTGATGGTCCACATGTAAGAGAACTTCACCACTTTGATCTGGCAAAGCAGAAAACAGTCAGTAAAGCTAAGAATATTTGATGTATTTGACGTTAAAGATAGATATAGTGTTTTTAGCTGTACCTGTGTGTAACACCAGCTCTCGGCCACGGGCCCGCTGGACATTTCCGCAGGGGGAGGGGGACTCGGGACTCTTGACATTGCCAGCGTGACAGAAGGTGTCGGGGGCAAGAGGGTGAGGAGAAGGAATTCGTCACTTCCACTCGTCAATGTTCAGTCCTGACGTCCATCTGCATCAGCACACGCCAGATGGAAGCAGTTTGCCCCCTAGAAACCGACAATGTCAGTGTGATTAGTTGATAGAGTTTAAATCCCATCTTCACGAAAATCCTGTCTAGCTGCGTGAGACACATTCTCCTAACAAGGCTACAGAAAACGAAGAAAAAACAGCTCATTGTAATGCAACACACAGGCTCTGTATCTTTTGATTAATCCAGTTAAGATTCAATATCATTTAATTCATGCAGCCACATCGCCTGTTATCGAGGTTTGTGGTGTTTTGGCTGGATGAATTGTCCCTGACCCGCTGGGGGACGGCGGGAGATCGATGGCCCGAGCCTGTTCTGAGATCAATAGCCGCCGCAATTGCAATTAAGTCTCCAAAATGAACTGTAAATAAACAAGCGGCCTCCCAGGACTCTGATGGAAGGGGGGGGGGTGTTGGAGCCACTGGCCAAATCCAAGGTTCCCAAATTACCTTCAAGTCACACAGAAACGGATACACACACACACAAACTCTAACAAACTTCAACAGCGTGCCCACATATACTGTACGTGCCTTATTCAGCCCTAATGGCTCCATGACTATTTATTCCATGCACTAAATAACAATCAGACTTTTGTGTCCCTCTTTTCGATATTACGCTTCTTTGTATGCGAACTAAACACACAATTCAGTGTCATTGGTTAATTATGGGATAGGAGTGTACAGAGACTGTATTTCCATATTTTTGTAAGGGGAAATTCACACAAAACTGGACACCATCTAGACCAGCGGTTTTCAAAGTGTGAGGCGCGACTCCCCGGGGGGGGGGGGCGCCAGAGAGCTTCAGGGGAGGCGCAGAGTGAGGTGACGCTACTCAGCCAATCAAATCGGTGCAGTCAGTGAGTGAGCACGTTAGATTCAAACACATAAAGAGACGAGACAAGAAGAGAGAAACAGCAGTGAGTAATTTAAAATGGCGTGCTCAAAAAAGAGAAAGGTAGACAGCGAAAACAGAGCATTTAATGACATTTTCTTACTGGAACTCTTTGAAATGCAATTGAATACCCCTGCATTATAGCAACAACAATAATAATAATAATANGATGATCTGCGTTTATTCCTGTCTACATTGCATCCCCGCATCATCTGCCTGTCGACGTAGACTCATTGTTCCCACGAAAGTAGGGGTGAGTGTAATAAGGAGGCAAAGTTGACATGCAGTGTGTTGCCGAGAGCATATAAGGATTTATCCACGATATTGAAAAAGTAAAAAAAAAGTTTAAAAAAGTTATTGTTTAATGTTTTAAGGAGGTGACGCTACTCAGCCAATCAAATCGG